GGGGGGGGATGAGTGAAATAAAGGGGATTAAGAGCACATTTATTCTCATGAACACTGAATAACGTATAGAATTGTTGAATCCCTATATTGTATACCTGAAACTAATACAGCACTGTATACTGGAATTAAAAGGTAAAATAACAATACAACTATTGTATGTTAATGTAAATAACATTTTTAATTAAATAACTGTGTGTTGTTGTTTTTTTAAAGATTCAAGCCGTTCTTTGCTTTTTTCAGTTTGTTCAAATCTCTGAAAAACTCCTTTGTGCCTAAATGAAAATTTTATGTAACTTTATCCTTTTTAGTTTTCCTGATGGCCTTCTACTGCAGGGAATGAGTCATAGACAATTCACAGGAATATCCTAAGGATTGTGGTGTTGAGTTAAAGAGGTTTTAAAAAGGCAGAACATCCTATATTTATTGGGCTGCTTGGGTATGTTCCCAGAAGTGGAGTTTGTATAGAGTATGGACTTTATACAGACTAATGTCAGATTTTCTGCTTTTCAGAGGTATAGGCATAAGAATGACAGAACCGATATACCTCAGCCCCTCATTTGACAATGTACTGCCCAACTACTTATTTTTACAGGTAAGTATTTGTCAAAGCAAAGTATTTATTAACATTGAAACATAACTTCAGTGAGTTATTTCAAATACAGTGTTTTTTTTCTATTACCATATTTTTTGTGGTTTATTTTTCTGATCTACCTTTTGTTAATGAGCAGTAAGAAAAAACTTTGTACGTACTCTCTTTTTCTCAATTGATTTTTTTTCCTAATGTTCATTTTTGCTAGAGAGCACAGGTGGGGGAGGGGCAGAGAGAAGGGGGGACGGACAGAGGATCTGAAGCAGGTCCTGTGCCGACAGTAGCTTGCTGATGCTGGCTTGAACTCATGGACCATGAAATCATGACCGGAGCCGAAGTCGGGTGCTCAACCGATGAGCCACCCAGGTGCCCCTCAACTGAATTTTAAACTTTTTTTTAACCCTCTGTTGCCCAAAGGCGCTTTAACAGCTCATTATAATCATTATTTTCCATCTCAAAATATTAATGTCTAAATAATGCATGCGTTATTATACATATAAGTGTATTTGTAACTTTGAGTGAGATGCAGATGGTTTACTACTAACACATTTTTGTCAGGTGGTTATCAATTGCTGTGATATGACAGTTTATTTTGCCGTGTCCAGTTTATTGCATACTTTTGCAGACAGTAACTCTTTTGATTTGTTACAGTTCATTGGTTAGGTGGTATTATTGTTACTACTCCCAATATGTAATGAAGATACTCGGTATCAGATCTGTTAGGTTTCTTGGACAAGGTCATATACAGTTCATAATTAGTAATGTCTGAACCCTGACCTAAATGCACATGCCATTTACTTTCTGCTCTGCCCAGTGTTTAATCAAAAGACATAAACCCAAAGATTATTTCCATTGGGAACAAACAGGAAAACAGATTTATGTGTATTATCTGATTCTACAATAGTGATGGTGTAACACATAGGATATATAACCTACTATATAGTTACACGCTATTATTCAAATTCTTCTTTGGTAATCTGTGCCAGCCCCCCGCCCCCCGCCTTTGTTTTAAAATTTGGAGTTCCGCTAGGTGCTTGGAATATATTACCACAAGCATTAACTGGCTTACAATTTAAGACAGCTGATACTGAACACATTATTGAATGATGTTCAATAACCATTTAACTTGTGACACAAGGTAGTTCATAGGATGACTGGCTGAAGAAATTTACACCTTGAAGAAATCATATTTCATAAGCATAAGAGTTTGGCAACTGGTAGCCTTTGTCTACCTACTTGGTGAGGTTAGTTTATAGAATGGGTGGAATTATAGAGCTGCTGAAAAATTCCTGGGGAAATTTGTGGGGTTCTCTTTCGCTTTCTCTTTCCCGCTTTTGGATACCTCTTGGCCTTGGCATTATCCCCACATCTATATTCTTTGTTACTTCTAACAGCTAATGCAAAAGCTTTGCATTGGAGACTTTGTTTTGCTGGGGTATGTGTATGTGTAAGGGGCTATTGATAACTGATTATTTTTCATTTTAGCACTTGAAGTTATATACTAGAATATACTTTTCAGACTTAATTGGAGTGTTGTATACAATCATTAAAACTACAACTGTGTAATACCATTTGGCTTTTCACAGTCAAAAGGGAACTTTTGAATTGCTTAAACACAGTCCACAGAATCTCAAAATAATCTTAGATGTCCTTCACATTTGAAGTAATTGTCAGTTAAAAGTTTAGCAGTTAAATACTTGCAAGAACTGCTTTCAGCTATATTCTAATAACATTTTAGTTTAACTGGAATAAAACATAGTGCCTAAAACTTAATTTCCTCATTGCCTCGTTCCTTGTAAATAATTAATTTAAGAGCCAGATGAGGTTGGACAACCTAAGGAGCTTTTAAATAAATACTACTGCCTGGGCACTAGCACCAGAATTGGTTTTAGTTGGTCTGACCGGGGTGGGGCCTGGGTCAGGACGATTAAAATCTCTCCCATGCAATTCTCATGTGCAGTTAAGGTTGAGAATCACTATAGCATAGCAATGGGGTGCATCTGGCTGCACGTTAGAGTCACTTGGGGCAGTGTTGAAAACACTGATGCCTAGGCCTTATTGCCAGAAATTCTGGTTTCACTATTCTGGATCAGGACTAAACCTTTTTGAAAAACTCACTAGGTGATTCTCTTGTGTAGCTAGGATTGGGATATACTGTAGAGAAAGGTAGTAGACTAAATTATTTTAAGAAAAGTTTGTCATTATTTAAATATTTAATGAAGCCTTTTCATTTGGACTGTTTGATAATTTCAATTTATTGCATGGCCAGAAGGTTCTTAATGTATTATTTATGTTTGATTGCAGATTTCTGTCATTTTTGACCCATACATTAATGTTATTAGGAGACAAGTATAACCAGTTGTCTTCAGATAAGGAATCACCAAATCTCCAGTAGCCACATACATGTTTTAGTGTTTTCATATTGGAGTGCAATTTTTAAATATTTTTGGAATAAATTAGACCATTGAAGAGAAAATCTGTAACAGGTTAAGCTGTTTTTAGTGTTTAATGTGGAGGGACTGCTCTTCAGATGCCTGAATGATTTGCATTGATTTTAATACTTCCTGTTTCCATAGGGGGAGTACTTGCTCATTTGTGTCTGCTTTCTCACGTTGATTTTCTGTTTTCAAGTGGTAATCTTGGATTCACTTGGGAGCATTGTAACCTTCTCCCAGTTCTTGAGAACATACTAATGGATACAATTCCCGTGTGAGAACGAATGGACACCTTTAAACTTTAAATAGCTCTGTGCTTGCCAAGTAATTTAAAAACTGCATTACTTTAAAGAAAATGCATTACTTTGTAATATTCTAGCTTTTAAACAATATTTATTTATTTTGAGAGGGAGAGAGCATGTGTGCATGAGTGGGGGAGGGGCAGAGAGCGAGGAGAGAGAATTCCAAGCAGGCTCCATGCTGTCGGTGCAGAGCCCAATGCAGGGCTTGAACTTGTGAACCATGAGCTCATGACCTGAGCTGAAATCAAGAAGCAGATGCTTAACCGACTGAGCCATCGAGGTGCCCCAGTATTTCTATTTTATTTGAGGCAAACTGTTATCCTAGAGTAGCAGTCCTTATGTGATCAATACTAATAATCAGGTAAGGTATAACTTACTGTAGTATAATTTACTACTGCGGTATCTGAGTTGTCCAGTCTCATAATACATTTCTGGGTGCCAATCAGAAACAATAAGATTTTTTTTACATTTTACTTTTCTCCTACAGAAATGTGGTCATGGTGGGGAGATAGGAACCCAAATGTCTTTGACTGGCATTAGCATAAAACTAGAATTCTTAAGTGGGCATTAGATGGTGAAGCACCTGAAGTTGCAAAATTTTATACATTTTCTTAGAAAAAAACCTAGAGCTTTCTTACATTTCTAAAAGGGCTTTGACCTTCAAAATGTTGAGAATTGTTGGGGCACCTGGGTGGTTCAGTCAGTTAAGTATCTGACTTTGGCTCAGGTCATGATGCTCACGGTTCATGAGTTCGAGCCCCACATCAGGCTCTGTGCTCAGAGCACAGAGCCTGCTTGGGATTCTCTCTCACCCTCTCTCTCTCTGCCCCTCCCCTGCTCTCTTTCTGTCTCAAAATAAATAAACTTAAAAAAATACTGAATTGTTGAGAAAAAAACATGATTTGCTAAATTGATTAGGGAAATGCATCTGTGCATGTGTGTCTTGTGTGTGAAGGTCCTATGAGATCATAGGATAATCTAGGAAATTGTGAATTTCCTGACACTAGTATTTTTACAGAAACCATATTTTGGTGGAGGATGCTGTACTGGACTGCCTCCAAAGATGTGTTTATGTTCTGTGATTCTTAATTTTAAAATGATTTAGAATCATTAGGGGCATCTGGGTGGCTCAGTTGGTTAAGCATCCCCGCTCTTGTTCTCAGCTTAGGTCTTGATCTCAAGGTTGTGAGTTCAAGCCCTGCACTGGGCTATATGCTGGGCTCTGCGCTAGGTATGGAGGCTACTTTAAAAAATGGGGCACCTGGGTGGCTCAGTCAGTTGGGCGTCCGACTTCAGCTCAGGTCACGATCTCGCGGTCTGTGAGTTCGAGCCCCGCATCGGGCTCTGGGCTGATGGCTCAGAGCCTGGAGCCTGCTTCCGATTCTGTGTCTCCCTCTCTCTCTGCCCCTCCCCCGTTCATGCTCTGTCTCTCTCTGTCTCAAAAATAAATAAACGTTAAAAAAAATTTTTTTTTTTTTTTAAATTAAAAAAAAGGATTTAGAGGGGCACCTGGGTGGCTCAGTCGGTTGGTTAAGTGTCTTGACTTCAGCTCCGGTCATGATCTCAGGGTTTGTGAGTTCCAGCCCTGCGCTGGGCTCTGTGCTGACAGCTCAAAGCCTGGATCCTGCTTCGGATCCTGTGTCTCCCCTGTTTCTGCCCCTCCTCCCATGCTCATCCTCTGTCTCTCAATAATAAATGCATGTTAAAAAATTAAAATAATAAAATAATAATTAAAAAAAATTTAGAGTCATTGGTAATTGATTTTTTGTTTTCCCTTATAGAATTTGCCATCTGCCGTCGTAACTCATGTTCTGGATCCTCAACCTGGAGAGAAGATTCTAGATTTGTGTGCAGCACCCGGAGGCAAAACTACACACATTGCAGCATTAATGCATGATCAGGTAAGACTGTCTTCACAGCAAACACTACTCTCAACATATTACGTATTTCAGTGTTGAAAGTAGCACTACATATAACTTAGGAAACATGCAGACATTTATAATCTGAATTATTATAGATTCATCCAAAGTGAAGACTCTTCACTGATGGGATTCATCACGTGTTGAGTGTAGTATATAATTATCATTTGTAAACACCATTTAAAGATCTTCTTAAATCCCAAATTTGCTAGTACATTTGTAAAGTAGAAGTCTTCTTCATAAATATACATTTAAATGAAACATTGAAGAGATTTTTTATGTTCTTAAGTATAAGACTTGATACTTTTTAAACTATTCAATTTTGCCACTAAGAGTTAATTTGCACATTACTGCAGTATCGAATTATACATCCATCCATACATATGTACTTATATGATACACGTCAAACACATCTTGAGACTTATAAAAGCTGTATGATCTGTCTTAATTACAAAGCTTGGTTTATTGTCACAAGATAGAGTAAGTCGTGGATAACTTTATCTCACATTTTACCGCCTCTACCTCCGTGTGTATGTATTTGACAGTATGTTTTCTTTCATTATGGGTTAGTCTTACCTGTTTAGAACTCGGTGTGACCTTGTAACCATTCTATACTGCAATTGCAGTACTTCAGCTCAAGAGGATACGGCTGGCTGATGCCATCTTTCTTCTTATTTCAAATTCCATACAATTAAGTGGTTCCTAAAATACTGAGACATGCTAGTGTCTTCACTTACTTTGATCTGAAGTCAGATTTTAATTGATTGTTCGGTTGATTAAACAGATATTTAATTAGTACTTCCATGTGCCAGGGACTGGGTGTGTAGCAATAAACCACAGTGACCAAAATCACCTTCTTCATGTAGCTTGCATTCTAGTTGCGAGGAGACAGATACTAAACTAAATGAATACAGGGTCTGGCATACGTGATTGCGATAAGAGCTACGGTGAAAAGTGAAGGAAGGTGAGGGGAATTGGGGTTCTTGGGGGGTGGGAGAGTGAGGAGGCAGTTTGAAGGAGGGTGGGGAGGGAGATCCACACTGGGAAGGCGGCTTCTGAGGAAAGACCTGGAGGTGCTGAGCAATGTGGAGGTCTGTGGAACGCGTGTTTTAGTGAGAGGAAACAGCAAGTTCAAGTGTGCCGAGGCTGGAGGGCACCTGACTTGTTTGAGGAGCCTCTGCAGTTTGCTGAGGAGGACGGGTAGAGAAAGAGCAGTCGGAGAGGGAGGGCCCAGGGGAGGACGTTTGGGTAGAGCACCTTGCAGGGTGTGTCAGGACTTCACCTGCACTCGAGTGATGGGAAGTCGTTGGAGGTTTTGGAGAGTGGCATAAGCCTTACTATTTCAAGTATCGTTTTGGCCACTGCATTGAAGAGAAGCTGTAAGAGGGCAAGGGTGACCAGTTAGGAGACCGTAATTCAGGGAAGCGTCATGGAGGCGGGAAGTTCTGGAGTGGTTTTTAAGGTGAGGTTGTAAGGAGCTGCAGACGCACTGGAAGTGGGCTGTGGACATGAGAAAATAATGGAGGGTGACTCCTCCAGATTTGGGCCTGAGGAAATGGAGAGAGCGAGCTAGGTGGGGGTGACTGGGAGGAGCAAGTTCTGCAGGGAAAAGTCAGAATTGAGTTTTGGAGATAATAAAGTGAAGTGTCAGACATCCAGAGGATGACGTTGAACAGGCAATTGGGTATTTGAGCCGGGAGTTCAGGAGAGAGGCCTGGACTGGAAATAAAACTTTGGATTGGAAATGTAAACATATACGGAATAGAGATTTGGACCTCATCAGCATATAGATAATGCGTAAAGGCATAAAACTAGCGTGGGTGGCAGTAGAGAGTAGAAGAGGCCAGAAGACTGAGCTGCCTGGGTACCATGGGCCAACATTCAGAAGCTGGGAGAAGGAGAAGGAGTGGCCAGCTATGTCAGAGGGAAACCAGAGGAGTGTGCTACCCTGGAAACTAGGTGCAGGAAGGGACTGAAAGGTAATGGAGAGATCAACTGTGTCACATGTTGTTGCCGGCCCGTAAAAGGAGGACTAAGACGTACCAGTGACTTAGCACCACGTAGGTGATGGGTGAGCTTCTCATGAGCAGTTTTGGTGAGTGGAAATGCTTGCTTGGATTGAGAATGAGAAGAATCTGAAAAAGTGAATCAAAACAGCTCCTTTGGTCGTGGTGAGGGTAGTTATTTGTACAAGAATGCAGTGAAGGGGCGCCTGGGTGGCTCCGTCGGTTGGGCGTCCGACTTCGGCTCAGGTCATGATCTCGCACTTTGTGAGTTCGAGCCCCTCATCGGGCTCTGTGCTGACCTCTTGCTCAGCTGGAGCCTGCTTCGGATTCTGTGTCTCCCTATCTCTCTGTCCTCCCCTGTTCATGCTCTGTCTCTCTCTCTCTCTCTCTCTCTCTCTCTTAAAAATAAACATTAAAAAAAAAAAAGAATGCAGTGAAATGGGGCAGTAGTGGGAGGTGAACTCAGGGAATACTTTTTTTAGGATGAGAGAAATGATAATGTTTATATGCTAATGAGAGATGCATTAAAAGGGGAAACATGTAACACCAGAGAAAGCAGGGAAAATTCCTGGACAGTATCTTTGAGGAGGTGACATGGGCTAGGATTTGATGCACAAGTGGCTTCAGTTGGTAGCCTGTGACAGTTTATCCCATGGAAATAAGAAGGGAGGCTGAGTACATAGGTGCAGCTGTTGGTGGGCTGGTCAGTGTGGGAGGACCTGGATGGTCTCTTCTGATCATTTGGCTTTTCTCAGTGAAATAGGAAGCAAGGTCATCAGATGAAAATGGGGATGGGGAAGGAGGCGGTAAGAGCTAGGAGGTAGGAAATACCAGTCCAGGAAGTGGAAGTGAGGACGGGTGTCAACACGCCGTAGGAATCCAGTTAGCACTGTGGGCTCCCTGAAGACATGAATTTGAGGCAGGATTAGTTGGGATAATGATGGGCTTTTTTTTTTTTTTTTTTAAGCTGCCTGGGGGTAGACAGGAGGTTGGTGAAGAATGGAGCTTAACCACAGCAGCATTTTTGCCATGCTTACATCTAAGACACAAAAGCATGTGTAGAAGAGAGTGATTTGATGTCACGTGGAATCTAAGCTGGGTGAGGAGCACAGCCAGGATAGTAAAAGACTGAGGCAGTGTGGATCCATTCTTGATTTTCTGAATTAGCTCACATTTCTTCAGTGGGAGGATTTCTTAGGCACCTAGAAAACTCAACAATTTTTGTCACAGTACTAATTTATAAATAAAAACTTACCTACCTGAGGTGTGAGACTTTCTGGCATAGAAATACACGTCCATAAGGCTTACCAAAGCCCTTCTGCTCTAGCTGATTTACTTCATAGAAGTAATATTTGCCCACTCCCCAAAGTGCCAGGTGTTGGACTTTGCCAGGTGATCATTTTTGATCTGTATTTGATGGTTTTTAGGATGCTTAAGCGATTTACAAGCAATCTTGCACAGAAAATAATAGGAACATTTTCTGTGTCAAGGTGAAATTGTAACTTTTCCCTTTCATTAGTGCAAATCATTTTATCCAAAGACTTCTGATGAAAATTCACACTGCTTGCATATTAGTATATAATACTGTCGTAACTTCTGAAACATTCACTGTGTCACAGAGGGATAAAACATGTATAAATTTATATTTTTAATAATTACACTGAAAGGTTAAAATCTGTCTCTGCACTGTATGTGTGTATCTACAAGCACTATATATAGGCACTGTATATATACGTACTGCGTGTGTATATGTATGCCTTCTGTACACAGGTACCCTACACACAGACACACTTGCGGTAACACTAGTATAACCTCAGTGAGTGGCCTTAAGGTAAGTAAGGAAGAAAAAGATACTTGTTTAAATTTTGTGGAATTAATACTCTGGGTTCATTAGAGGAGATATACTTGCCTGTTTACTTATATTCTTGTTTATCCAAAAAGAATTTAAAGTGGTAACAGTAAAAACTTTAAGGAAAAATGCATTAAATATCACCAGAGTGTAAAATGCAGAACAAGATTCATTTTATGGAGTTGTGGTGTGTAAATGCAGATCCTTTTTTAGATTCCTTGAAATGTTAATTGTGAAGATTATGATATGCCTTGAAGAAGTAATCATAACCCCCCCCGCCTTAATTTATGGTATATGATATTTATTGTGTTGGCTTAGAAGTATTTATTCACAGATATTTTACGTTCTCTAATAAGAAGTCCTTTCAAAGAGAATCTGGGTATTTTAAGTGTGTCCATGTTTTGTTGTTCCGTTTTCTAGTGTATAAAAACGACCACAAAAACCTTAGCAGCCTACGACTAAACATTTATTCAGCTCAGGAGTCTGGGATTCAGTTGATCCCTGCAGGGCTTGCTTGTGCACCTGATCAGCTGCAGGCCAGCTAGGGGTTCCCATGGTCTTGGGTGGGCTCATTCACTTGAATTTGGCTGGTGTTGGCTTATCTAAAGTGACCTCAGCAGAGACCACTAGGGTACCCTGCTGCTGGTTCCTTTCTCTTATCTACCTGCTAGGGGGTAGTCAGGAGACTAGCCCAGCAGAGGGCAAACATTGAAGGTTGGGAGCACAGAGGGCAAAGCAGAGAGCAAAGCCACCTGTTCAAGTCCTTTCCACAGCTCTGTTTGTATCACATTTACTGTCATCCCATTGGCTGACGCACGTCCTATGGCTCAGCTCAAGTAGGAAAGGCAAGGGACTGCAAGGTGAGTGCCAAAGGGTGGGGGATATGTGGAGAGTTGAGTTAGAGTTAGGCAATTCCCCCATAGTGGGCCGCCAGCAGAAATGAACAACTTTGAATAGAAATATTTGAGCTTGCGTGAATTCCAGATTTTATTGCTGTTCTTGATGTGTTGTTATTTATTTTGATATTTAAGCAAGTTTTATGTGAGTATAGCCTCTAGTCTTGTACTTCTGTAAAAGTAGCCTTCACCCATCACCACAGTAATGCATTTGAAATTTATTCCAGTTGCTGTTGCTTACTTTTCCAGTTCAACTCTCTGGAAATGGTTTTCCTGTTTGTCAAAATATTAATAGGAAAACTGTGTCTACCACTAACCTGGTGTCACATTTAGGAACATCATCAGCAAATTTTCAGCATTGTTGTCCATGCATTAGATGCACATGTCATACAAGGATGTTGTATATAAAAAAAAAAAAAGCAAGAAAAGACATTGAAGAGTTAATCTCACCATCTCTGCAATATCATTTCATAGCATATTTTTAAAACCATATGAATGTCACAAGGCATTTGTAGAAGTGTGGTATCATCCTCATTGACTTTTTTTAAAAAACTGTTTATTTTAAGAGAGAGCAAGTGGGGTATGGCCAGAGAGAGAGGGAGAGCGAGAACCCCAAGCAGGCTCCATACCCAGCATGGAGAAGGATGCAGCGCTTGATCTCATGACCGTGAGACCATGCCCTGAGCCAAAAGCAACAGTCAGATGCTTAATGAAGTCACCTTTAAGGGTGGTAGTAAAATAGAGAAGACCATAATTTTTCATCAGTTTTCCACAGTATTAATAGTTTTCATGACTGCTTTGGGTATACACCTTATTTTTATGTGTTTTGTTTGTTTGTTTTTTAGGGAGAAGTAATAGCACTGGATAAAATATCCAACAAAGTAGAAAAAATAAAACAGAATGCTTTATTGTTAGGGCTGAATTCCATCAAGGCATTTTGCTTTGATGGAACAAAGGCTCTTAAACTCGATATGGTTAAGGATGCTGAAGGTGAGTTAAATTTTGTCTTTATAGGCTTCTGTAATTGGCTTTTGGAAACAAATAGATTTTGCTATCATTGTTCTAGCCTTAAAATATCCATAAGACCTCGAAACTGGCATGGATTTAAGCTATGTTGCCATAATAGATACCATTTTGCTTTTCATCTCATCCCTAAATTTCAGATTTTAATAATGTACAATCATATCCCCAAGACTTGGTCAAACCCTTTGGTCTTACTGTATTTGTCTTAATTTCATGTTGAATCTCAGAAAGCTTATTAGCCTTTCAATTTTATGATTCTTGGGCTATTGTGTTTTCTTCATTTTCTTGAGAGAATGGGGCTGTGGAGCTAGGAAGGGAGGAAAAACTGCCACATGTCTTGTTTTAGAACAAAATGTTGTATTAAGTCACTCGATAGCTCTGTTTCTTTGTTTAGATTTGATTTCATGAAGTACTCCAGAAACTTGCATATTTTAATGAACTAATTGGCATTCGTGTTCCCAAAATGTGCATTGATTAAAGATGCTACTTGATTAATCACTTCTTGGCCTTTTGGCTAGGATCAAGTGTAGTACCTGCTCTTATCAGTTGAATATCTGCTATGTCCTCTCTCTGAGGACAATATATCACAAGATTTTGGCACCAGGAGATGGAACAGGAACTTGCTCCGTCCACTCCATGCATCGACCTGTGTTCCCAGCACTCCCAGGAATGGTGCACCTTTTTGAGGGAATGAAAATTGTCCAGGGGAAAAAAATCCTACCTGATTAAAGGTGACTTTTATTTTATTTTATTTTTAATGTTTATTTATTTATTTTGAGAGAGCACGTGAGCTGGGAAGGGGCAGAGAGAGAGAGAGAGAGAGAGAATCCTAAGCATACTCTGCACTGTCAGCGCAGAGCCGGAGGTGGGGCTTGATCTCACAGAATCGTGAGATCGTGACCTGAGCCGAAATAAAGAGTTGGATGCTTAACTGATTGCGCTACCCAGGTGCCCTTAAAGATGACTTTAAAAAACTGAGGCCATGGTTTTGATTCCCCACCCCTTATAGCCCATCTAACGTTCCCATATATAAGCTGTTGTTTTTTTTTTAAGAATGACTAGTAGACAATGGACAGCTCAATATAATCCATTACTGTTACTTTACTGAAATCATTGGTAGGTGACCAGTTTTTACATATCACTGAATAAAGTGATCATACTTATAAGCATAATAGGTTGAGATTAGGGTAAGAACAATCGAGATGTAGGGGTAGCCATTTTAGAGGTTAGTCTCCAGTGCTATAGCGGGACATATATTAACTGACTTGGAATAGTTGATCACTGAGTTTTCACTCATTTACATCACTTTATTAGCTAATGGTCCTAGGTTGTCATCTTTAGGTATTTTTTGCATCAAGACTTGTTTCGTCACAGATACGGGATGGTAGTTTGATTTGGGGTATTAAAGCTAGAATGTCAGGCAAAAGACATCTGATGGAAAATGCATCAGTAATGTGAACATCACCATATCTTTGAGATTCCTGGAAAGTGAGGAGAGTTACTTTGTGATACCTACCTAATGTGTAATAAACCACACGGGAATAAACAAATGCAGCACATGGAACTCTTCCTAGAAAAATAGGGATTGTTCAGAGGAACAAGTTCTGGACTATGATTTGTCTTCTTACAGATGTGGGAATAGGTCAGACTTGATTGCCTGATGACATGAGAACAGCATTTCATGGTCAGTTATTGTTAACCTAAAAGAGTTAGCCAGGGGATTTATATTAGGGTATAGGCTCACAGGCTGTATCAAAGAGACCCAGAATTCAATGGCTTAGAAAATATAAAAGCATTTTTTGTTTCCCTGTTTTCGTTGTTTATTTTGGTCTCACCTAGCAGAAGTGGTCATTCAGTCCTGTTTATGTCATCTCTGGGTCGAAGATAGATGTTCTGGTTCTTTCAAGGGGAAGGGAAAGGATATCAGAATTCTTAGTAATGCATACTACAGCTGGCCAGATTAGTCATTTGATGATCGATTTAGCTGCAAGTGGGGGCTGGAAAACGTCGTCTTTAGCAGTGTAGTGGTGTGCCCAGTGCAAACCATGACTACAGGAAAAGAGGACAATGGGCATTAAAGAACAGCTAGCAGTCTGACGAAGGCTTGGTAGTGCTAAGGTGCTGATGGTGACCGTTTACGTTTATTCGTAAGATTTTTAAAAGTTTTATTATTTTAGTTGACATAGTGTTACTAGTTTCAAGTATAATGTAACAATTCTACAATTATGTACATTATCCTGTGCTCATCACAATTAAGTCACCCTCGGTCATCATAAAATGTTCCTACATTATTAACTTTTTCTTTTTTAGCATTTATTCATTTTTTAAGAGACAGGGAGAGATAGAGTGTGAGCAGGGGAGGGGCAGAGAGAGGGAGGGAGACACAGAATCAGAGGCAGACTCCAGGCTCTGAGCTGTCAGCCCAGAGCTCAAACCCACAAACGAGATCATGACATAAGCTGAAGTCGGACACTTAAACCGACTGAGCCACTCAGGCGCCCCAAATGTTACATTATTGACTATATTCCCTACACTGTGGTTTTTGTTTGTTTTGTTTTGTTTTGTTTTGTTTTATCTCTGTGACTTACTCATTTTATAGCCAGAAGTTTGTACCTCTTAATTTCTTTCACTTATTTTGCCCATCAACTCACCCGCCTCCCTGCTGGCAACCACCGGTTTGTCCCCTGTATTTGAGTCTATTTCTGTTTGTTTGTTTATTGTTTTGACATTCAGAGTCCACATATATGTGAAATCCTATGGTATTTGTCTCTCTCTGTCTTATTTTACATACCCTCTAGATCCATCCATGTTGTTGTGAATGGCAAAGATATCTTTCATTTTTATGGTTGACTATTCCGTGTGTGTGTGTATACCACATCTGTATCCATCTATCAGTAGACACTGGGAATTGCTTCCGTATATTGGCTGCTGTAACTAATGCTGCAGTAAATGTGGGGGCGCATATATCTTTCTGAATTCATGTTTTCATTTTCTTCAGGTAATTATCCAGATTACTGGATCATGTGGTATTTCTATTTTTAATTGTTTGAGGAATCTCCATACTGTTTTCCATAGCAGTTGTATTGATTCACATTCCCACCAACAGTGCAAAAGATTTTTCTTTACATCCTTATATATTATTTCTTGTCTTTGACACTAGCCATTCTCACTGTTGTGTGAGGTGAGATCTTACTGTGGTTTTATTTTGCATTTCCCTGATGATTAGTGATGTTGAGCATCTTTTTGTGGGTCTGTTGGCCATCTGTATGTCATCTTTGAAAGAATGTCTTCAGGTCCTCTGCTCACTTTTTAATTGTATTCTTTGGGGTTTTTTTTGGTGCTGAGTTGTAGAAGTTCTGTATGTATTTCAGATATTAACACCTTACAGATAGATATATCATTTGCAAAATCTTACATCAGTAGGTTTGCCTTTTCATTTTTCTGATGGTTTCCTTCACTGTGCATAAGCTTTTTATTTTGGTTTAGTTCCAATAGTTTATTTTTGCTTTTTTTTCCCTTTACTGCAGAGACGTATCCATAAATATGTTGCTAAGGCTGATGCAAAGAGATGACTGCCTGTGTTTTCTTTTAGGAATTTTATGGCTTCAGGTCTCATATTTAGGTCTTTAATCCATTTTGAATTTATTTTTGTGTTTGATATGAGAAAATGTACCAGTTTTACTCTTTGGCATGTAACTGTCCAGTTTTCCCAGAACCATTTATTGAAGAGACCATCTTTTCCCCACTCCCCATTGCATATTCTTGCCTCCTTTTTTTATTAATTAAGTGAACATAAAAGCATGGTTTTATTTCCAACCACTGTATCCTTTTCCATTGATCTTTTTTTGTGCCAGTACCATATTCTTCCAGGTTACTATAGCTTTCTAGTGTATCTTGAAATCTGGAATTGTGATACCTCCAGCTTTCTTCTTCTTTTCCAAGATTGCTTTGGTATTTGGGGTCTTTGTGATTTCATACACATTTTAGTATTATCTGTACAAATTCTGTGAAAAGCACGGCAGTTATTTTGGTAGGGATTGCATTGAATCTGTAAATTTCTTTTGGTAATATGGGAATTTTAACAATATTCTTCCCATCTGCGAGTATGGCATATCTTTTTATGTGTATTGTCTTCAGTTTCTTTCCTCAATGTCTTACAGTTTTCAGAGTATGGGTTTTCCCCTCGGTTGAATTTATTCCTGGGTATTTTATTCTTTTTGGTGTAGTTGTAAATGGGATTATTTTATTATTTTCCTTCTCCATATAGAAACACAATAGATTTCTCTGTATTAACTTTGCATTCTGTAACTTTACTGAATTCATTTATTCTAATTTTTTTTTAATCTTTAGGGTTTTCTATATATAGTATCATGTCATCTGCAAAGAATAACAGTTTTGTTTTCTCCTTACCAATTTGGATCCATTTTATTTCTTGTCTGATTGCTGTGGCTAGTACTTCCAGTACTATGTTGACTAAAAGTGGTGAGAGTGGACATCCTTGTTTTATTCCTGATCTTAGAGGAAAAGCTTTCAGTTTTTTGCTATGGACTATGATATTGGCTATGTGTGCTTCATATATGGCCTTTATTATATTGAGGCATGTTTCTCCTAAACCCACTTTGTTGAGAGTTTTTATCACGAAGAGATGTTACATTTTGTCAGATATTTTTTTCTGCGTCTATTGAGATGATCCTATGGGTTTTTTTTTAAGTTTATTTTGAGAGAGAGAGCGCACGTGCACACGAGTTGGGGGGAGCAGAGAGAGAGAGAATTCCAAGCAGGCTCTGCACTGTCAGCACAGAGCCTGATGTGGAGCTCTAACTCACGAACCATGAGATCATGACCTGAGTTGAAATCAAGTGTTGGATGCTTAACCATCTGAGCCACCCAGGTGCCCAGTCCTGTGGTTTTCATCCTTCCTCTTGTTAATGCGATGTATCACGTTAGTATGTGAATGTTGAACCATC